ATGGTTGAAAGTCGCTTGTTACATGAAAAACGGAGATTTTTTTTTTTGAAGTGGACGACAATAAATTTTTTGTGTAATGTTTATATTGAATGACACTTGATTTGCAATGTCCCACGACTAGTAGTCATGAAGATTTGTGGAATAAAATACAAATGATATGGAATCAGATTGATGTTGATTTCTGTTTAAAATTAATTGATACTATGCCACAAAGAATAGCAGACGTTCTCAAAGCTAGTGGAGGATACACAAAGTGGTAACTGTTATGTAGTCAAGTTTTGGATAATATTTAGTTAGAAATATGTCAAGAAATTTATGCAAGAATTTTATTTTTGTTATGTGCCAAAAGTATTGCACCACGAAATTTTTATTCATTTGAGGTTTTTTTTAAAAAATGCAAATTGAACTACAATAAAGTTTGGTTATAATATATAGTTAAACTAATGTATTTTAAATGAGCCAAAATACATGTATTGATTATCTGTAGTTAATGAGATATTCCCGTTTAATAATTTTAAATCAAGTGGTGCAATAATTATGGAAGTCACTGTATATGTATGATATCCCAAAGGCGTCCCCTTGAGATGTTTCTCAATAGTTAGAATGTTGGTTATTTGCTAAGTGCAGCAAAGGTTTACCCTTTGTATTTTATTATTAATTAGAGATTATTATTTTTAAGGTCAAATATGTTATGTGTTTTTATTAGCGATAATAATATTATTGTTAGGAAATATTAATTATTAGATCAATAATTAAAAGATTGTTATGAACATTATTCTTCACTTGGTTCAAAACCAAGCTCTTTTATACCTCTTGAGGTATTACAAATAACATGACCTTTACAATATTTTGTCCAATAAAATATGCTTATTAATCCTATTTTCTGTAATTCTAGCTTACTAATCGTTAATTACTAATGCTATGACTCATAATGACTAAACCTATGAGTCACTATTACAAATAATTGAATTAATAATTCGAAAATAGAAAATGATGTCATTAACACGTGACTGCAGAAGCACCCTTACAAAAATTTCTTAAAATACCCTATTTTCAAATGTACCATATGAGGTCAATACCCAGTTTCAAATGTACCATTTGAGAACATAGCGGGTATTCGATTTTACGAAATGATCAGCATTAGTTTCACAACATATAAATCATATACAAATGACCTGTC